CAGCAGAGCTGCAGTTACTATCATTTGGGACTTGCCATCTTCCAGCAGAGCTGCAGTTACTATCACTTGGGACTTACCATCTTCCAGCAGAGCTGCAGTTACTATCACTTGTGACTTACCATCTTCCAGCAGAGCTGCAGTTACTATCATTTGGGACTTACCATCTTCCAGCAGAGCTGCAGTTACTATCACTTGTGACTTACCATCTTCCAGCAGAGCTGCAGTTACTATTGCTTGGGACTTACCATCTTCCAGCAGAGCTGCAGTTACTATCACTTGGGACTTACCATCTTCCAGCAGAGCTGCAGTTACTATCACTTGGGACTTACCATCTTCCAGCAGAGCTGCAGTTACTATTGCTTGGGACTTACCATCTTCCAGCAGAGCTGCAGTTACTATCACTTGGGACTTACCATCTTCCAGCAGAGCTGCAGTTACTATCACTTGGGACTTACCATCTTCCAGCAGAGCTGCAGTTACTATCACTTGGGACTTACCATCTTCCAGCAGAGCTGCAGTTACTATCACTTGGGACTTTCCATCTTCCAGCAGAGTTGCAGTTACTATCACTTGGGACTTACCATCTTCCAGCAGAGCTGCAGTTACTATCACTTGGGACTTACCATCTTCCAGCAGAGCTGCAGTTACTATCACTTGAGACTTACCATCTTCCAGCAGAGCTGCAGTTACTATCACTTGGGACTTACCATCTTCCAGCAGAGCTGTAGTTACTATCACTTGGGACTTACCATCTTCCAGCAGAGTTGCAGTTACTATCACTTGGGACTTACCATCTTCCAGCAGAGTTGCAGTTACTATCACTTGGGACTTACCATCTTCCAGCAGAGTTGCAGTTACTATCACTTGGGACTTACCATCTTCCAGCAGAGTTGCAGTTACTATCACTTGGGACTTACCATCTTCCAGCAGAGTTGCAGTTACTATCACTTGGGACTTACCATCTTCCAGCAGAGTTGCAGTTACTATCACTTGGACTTACCATCTTCCAGCAGAGCTGCAGTTACTATCACTTGGACTTACCATCTTCCAGCAGAGTTGCAGTTACTATCACTTGGGACTTACCATCTTCCAGCAGAGCTGCAGTTACTATCACTTGGGACTTACCATCTTCCAGCAGAGTTGCAGTTACTATCACTTGGACTTACCATCTTCCAGCAAGTTGCGTTACTATCACTTGGGACTTACCATCTTCCAGCAGAGTTGCAGTTACTATCACTTGGGACTTACCATCTTCCAGCAGAGCTGCAGTTACTATCACTTGGGACTTACCATCTTCAGCAGAGCTGCAGTTACTATCACTTGGGACTTACCATCTTCCAGCAGAGTTGCAGTTACTATCACTTGGGACTTACCATCTTCCAGCAGAGTTGCAGTTACTATCACTTGGGACTTACCATCTTCCAGCAGAGCTGCAGTTACTATCACTTGGGACTTACCATCTTCCAGCAGAGCTGCAGTTACTACACTTGGGACTTACCATCTTCCAGCAGAGTTGCAGTTACTATCACTTGGGACTTACCATCTTCCAGCAGAGTTGCAGTTACTATCACTTGGGACTTACCATCTTCCAGCAGAGCTGCAGTTACTATCACTTGGGACTTACCATCTTCCAGCAGAGCTGCAGTTACTATCACTTGGGACTTACCATCTTCCAGCAGAGTTGCAGTTACTATCACTTGGGACTTACCATCTTCCAGCAGAGTTGCAGTTACTATCACTTGGGACTTACCATCTTCCAGCAGAGTTGCAGTTACTATCACTTGGGACTTACCATCTTCCAGCAGAGTTGCAGTTACTATCACTTGGGACTTACCATCTTCCAGCAGAGTTGCAGTTACTATCACTTGGGACTTACCATCTTCCAGCAGAGTTGCAGTTACTATCACTTGGGACTTACCATCTTCCAGCAGAGTTGCAGTTACTATGACCTCTCCCACACAGCAGCAGAAATTATTTTCATGACTATATCTCCATCGTCACAGAGTGGGAGTAATAAAAACATATAAATACACTGATAAATATATTTATTTTCCCATTAAATACATAAATACTGAAGCAGTATTTTTTGAGTAGTCTTGGAACAGTTTGAATGTTACAGTGAAATTCTGCTTTTGGAGGTGGAGGGGTGGTTGTAGGTGTGGGGGTGGTTGTAGGTGTGGGGGGTGGTTGCAGGAGAAGGGGTGATTATAGGTGGAGGGGGCTAGTAGGTGAGGAGTGGGGGTGTGATTGGTAGTTGGTAGGAATTAGAGGAGGGAGTGTAGGAGATACAGAGGAGGTGGAGATGGACGAGTAAGAACAGGGAGAAAAGAGTAGGGGGAAAGGGACACACTGAAGGAAACGCAAACGTATGGTCTTGAAGAGCCACTCACGAGGGTGGTAAACACTGCAACCTCTAGCACACACACACACACACACACACACACACACACACACACACACACACACACACACACACACACACACACACACATACACACACTGAAAGCACTCAGTCGCACACTGTCAAAAGAGAGAGAGAGTGATGGTGTGGTAGGACTCAGGAGGGAAATGGTAACAAGTGGGGTACCTATAGTATCAGTTCTGTATCACTAGTCTTCTGTATCACATACATAAATAATCTACCAGAGAGGATTGAAACCAACGTCACTGTTGTCATGAACATCTGGGGGAACTTAGATTCGTCATGTAATACAAGTAGGCCTCAATATTTACCTAGTAATATCTAGTATTAACCTTCGTATATTAAATAACCCAGTGAAATATTATAGTTGAGTATTTGACTCTGAAGTTAGTTGTATAAACTGGTGACGGCTCATAGTGGGTCTGTCAGTCGTGTGACTGTTTCCGACTGGTAGTACAGAGTGTTCTGAAATCTAATTAAGTTAGGTAAGGTTTGTCAGGAAACAAGACCCTGACGCGGGTCTTATTCATAAGATGACTCGCAGCTGGAACTTTTGGTCATCTGACCGAGGCCTTCCACTGGCTTACCCCTCCACCCCTTTTAAAAATTATGGTTATGATTATCATCACTTTGTTTTCTAATTGATTCACACTTCAAATACACAAGATAAGATTAGTTGACAGTCATGCTGAATGGTGAGAAAGTGGCTGTCTGGAGCAGGTGTTCATTATGATGTTACTGTGTCTGGGTGTGTGTGTCTCTGACGGCTCAGTCTCCTGTCACTTCCTTCTGCTGTATCCTCTGACACCGTCTGTATCTTATCTTCATGGAAGTCACTGTGTATTCCCGTATTCTTCAACGACCTTCTTGCTGCCAGTCTGAAGAGAGCTGGTCGGGGCGCCAGCAGACGCTTGTGGCAGATGGTCAACACAGTGTTCGGTTATAAATGTATCTCATTATTTATTTACCTTTCACGGTAATTTTCTCGTGTAGTTGTGCGGAGTAACATTAAGGTCATTGTGGATGAAGGTAGGTGTCGAGGACTCTCACATTCACTTATGCTTTAGAGAGTTCTGCAGATTCGTCTTGTTTACACCTCTTTAGGTTGGTAATGGAGTTTGAAGCCTGTCGACTATACGAGGGTTAATAAGACTGCACGTAAAAAATTTTTAGTTTCTGCCACCGAAATGGCTAGTACATTGCGTACCTCATATCCATCCTGTGGATGGTAGCGTAAGAGCATATGGATACACAAGATGTCAGACTCTGAGATAAAAGAATTAAATTTGACATCTCGGAGAGATACATCGAGGGAAAAAAGGTGATAAAGAGAGAGGTTAAGAAAGATTGGGAAAAGAGAAGGAAGTGGAGAGGGAAATGGTGAAAGGTAAAGAGGAATGTAAATATGGAGGGAGAGGTGAAGAAAGGGTAGGAGGTAGAAATAGAATAAAGGTAAAGGGAGGAAGGGAGAGAAGGGAAGGGAGGGACAACAGTGCTCTCTACAACAGTAAAAAGTCAACAGAAACAGACGGCTCCTCTTTACATATCAAATTAATCAATTTGACAAAAGAGAAAAGTAGAAGAGGAGGTGGAGGGGATGAAGAGAAGGGAGAAGAGAAACATACTGATTGGAAACATTGCCTGGAGCAAGGGAGGGAGGGAGAATAAATGAACTGAGAGACAAGAAGTGGAAGAATGGGGGAATAGGCACGCAATAATAAAGAGGAGAGGGGGAGAAAATAGGAGATAAAAGCCACGAAGAGGATTAGCAAAACGTGGAGAAAGGAAAATGGAAGAAATCAGGAGACAGTAGGGAAAAGGGAGATGAGAAAACTGGTGGAAAAGGATTACGAATGAAAGGAAGAGACTGGTATAGGAGGAGAAGGAGGAGGAGGGGAACAAGACAACACGAGAGACGTTCAATACGAAGAGAGGAATAATAGAGGAGGAGGAGGAGGAGAAGGGGAGGAGGAGGAGGGAGGGAAGAGGGAACGGGAAGGGTTGATATTAAGGAAGGAAGGAGGGAAGTAAAGAGGGAGGGAGGAAACAAAGAAGGAAGGGGAAATAAACACGAGGAAGAAGAAAGAGAGGAACGAAGGAAGGAAGGAAGGTAGGAAAAAAGGAAGAGAAGGAGAGGAAGGAAGGAAGGGAGGAAGGAAGAGAAGGAAGGAAGGAGAGGAGGAAGAAGGAAGGAGAGGAAGGAAGGAGGAAGGAAGGAAGGAAGGAAGGAAGGAAGGAAGGAAGGAGGAAGAGGAAGGAAGAGGAAGGAAGGAAGGAAGGAAGGAAGGAAGGAAGGATGGAAAAGGAAGGAAGGAAGGAAGAAGGAAGATGGAAGAAGGAAGAGGAAGGAAGGAAGGAAGGAAGAAGGAGAGGAAATGGAAGGAAGGATGGAAAAATGGAAGGAAGGAAGGAAGGAAGGAAGGAAGGAAGGAAGAGATGGAAGGAAGGGAGGAAGGATGAGGAAGGAAGGAGGAAGTAGAAGAAGGAAGGAAGGATATGGAAAGAAGAATGAGAAAAGTGAATGAGAGATGAAGAATGAAGTGAATGAAGGAATGATGAGGAAGTGATGAAAGGAATGATGAAGGAAGTGATGAAGGGAAGGATGAAGGAAGTGATGAAGGAAGTGATGAAGGAAGTGATGAAGGAAGTGATGAAGGAAGTGATGAAGGAAGTGATGAAGGAAGTGATGAAGGAAGTGATGAAGGAAGTGATGAAGGAAGTGATGAAGGAAGTGATGAAGGAGAAGTGATGAAGGAAGTGATGAAGGAAGTGATGAAGGAAGTGATGAAGAAGATCAGTGGATGAAGAAGTCAATGAAGTGGAATGATAAGTTCAATGATCAGTGATGAAGTTACAATGATCCAGTGGAATGTTAAGTTACAATGATCCATGGAATGTTAAGTTACAGATGAATGAAGTGAGAAGTGGATGTAGGAAGTTACAATGATCCAGATGGAATGTTAAGTGATACAAATGATTCTAAGGAATGTAAAGTTACAATGATCCAGTGGAATGTTAAGTTACAATGATCCAGTGGAATGTAAAGTTACAATGATCCAGTGGAATGTTAAGTTACAATGACAGTGGAATGTAAGTTACAATGATCAGTGAATGATAAGTTACAATGATCATGGAATGTTAAGTTACAATGATCCAGTGGAATGATGAGAAGTTACAATGATCAGTGTGAAATGTAAAGTTACAATGATCCAGTGGAATGTAAATGTACAATGATCCAGTGGAATGATAAAGTTACAATGATCCAGTGTGAAGTTAAGTGATACAATGATCCAGTGTGAAGTTGTAAGGATTACAATGATCCAGTGGAATGTAAAGTTACAATGATCAGAGTGTAAGAAATGATAGTGAGAAGTAATACAATGATCCAGTTGAGAATATAAGATGTTACATGATCCAGTGTAATGATAGAAGTGTACAATGATCCAGGGAATTGTAAATGTTACAATGATCCAAGTGAATGTATAAGTTACAATGATCCAGAATGTAAAGTTACAATGATCCAGTGGAATGTAAGTTACAATGATCCAGTGGAATGTAAAGTTACAATGATCCAGTGGAATGATAAGATGGAGTTACAATGATCCAGGATAGTAAGATAGATGTAAAGTTACAATGATCCAGTGGAATGTAAAGTTACAATGATCCAGGAATGTAAAGTTACAATGATCCAGTGTGAAAATGTATGAAGTTACAATGATCCAGGGAATGTAAAGTTACAATGATCCAGTGGAATGTAAAGTTACAATGATCCAGTGGATTGTAAAGTTACAATGATCCAGTGGATTGTAAAGTTACAATGATCCAGTGGAATGTAAAGTTACAATGATCCAGTGTAAAGTTACAATGATCCAGTGGAATGTAAAGTTACAATGATCCAGTGGAATGTAAAGTTACAATGATCCAGTGGATTGTAAAGTTACAATGATCCAGGAATGTAAGAATGATCCATAAGTTACAATGATCCAGTGGAATGTAAAGTTACAATGATCCAGTGGAATGTAAAGTTACAATGATCCAGTGGAATGTAAAGTTACAATGATCCAGTGGAATGTAAAGTTACAATGATCCAGTGGAATGTAAAGTTACAATGATCCAGTGGAATGTAAGATTACAATGATCCAGTGGAATGTTAAGATTACAATGATCCAGTGGAATGTAAAGTTACAATGATCCAGTGGAATGTTAAGTTACAATGATCCAGTGGAATGTTAAGTTACAATGATCCAGTGGAATGTTAAGATTACAATGATCCAGTGGAATGTTAAGATTACAATGATCCAGTGGAATGTTAAGATTACAATGATCCAGTGGAATGTTAAGATTACAATGATCCAGTGGAATGTAAGATTACAATGATCCAGTGGAATGTTAAGTTACAATGATCCAGGGAATGTAAATTACAATGATCCAGTGAATGTTAAATTACAATGATCCAGTGGAATGTTAAGATTACAATGATCCAGAGGAATGTTAAGATTACAATGATCCAGAGGAATGTTAAGATTACAATGATCCAGTGGAATGTTAAGATTACAATGATCCAGGGAATGTTAAGATTACAAGATCCAGAGGAATGTTAAGATTACAATGATCCAGAGGAATGTTAAGATTACAATGATCCAGTGGATGTTAAGATTACAATGATCCAGAGGAATGTTAAGATTACAATGATCCAGTGGAATGTTAAGATTACAATGATCCAGAGGAATATTAAGATTACAATGATCCAGTGGAATGTTAAGATTACAATGATCCAGAGGAATGTTAAGATTACAATGATCCAGTGGAATGTTAAGATTACAATGATCCAGTGGAATGTTAAGGTTACAATGATCCAGTGGAATGTTAAGATTACAATGATCCAGTGGAATGTTAAGGTTACAATGATCCAGTGGAATGTTAAGGTTACAATGATCTACTGTAATGTAAAATTACAATGATCCATTATAATGTAAGACTACAATGATCCTCTGTAATGTAATTAACATGACATGTCGTCCACTGCAGGGTAAATACACCCTTATGTAATCTATATTTACGGTCGTTTAAGCTTGTTAGTCATGGTAGCTGGGGTGGTAGTAGGGGGGGAAGGGGTGGTGGTGGGGTGGGGGAGGGTTGTCGTGGGGGAAGGGAGGGGAAGTAGTGGAGGCTATACCTGTGACAGGTGTCTAGAGTTTTCCTAATCTCGCAGCCCTGCCCTAGGTCAGGCTCGTCTGGTGCTCGCCTGGTCAACCAGGCTGTTGCTGCTTATGTATTGTACATGAATGGTATACAGTACCGACAACATGAAGAATGAGACACCTGTGCAACATCTAGGTATCTTGTAGACGTTTCGCCCACCAGGCTCCATTAATACACTACAATGTCAAGAAAGACTCTTCTCCAGAAAGTTCACATTGAGTATTCTGAGACGTTCCTAGATATTTAAATGTAGAGAGATCTCTCTATCTGCTCCAGCTGTGATATCTCTCCTGTCTTGTACACAGTCGTCAACAATTAGCTGTACTCGAGGCGAAAGAGCACAAGTGATTTGAACAGTGTTCCCAATAGTCTTATTTTTCTTGTTTTGAAAGTTTAAATAACTGGTCAGCTGACATTATCACTCCCAGGTCTTGCACGTGTTGCTTCGCTTGTGTTTTGTATATATTGTCCTTCTGGTGGGGAGGTGATGGAGGAGGGGTGTTTTCTGCTGGTGGGGAGGTGATGGAGGAGGGGTGCCCTACTGGTGGGGAGGGAAGGAGGTTAATAGGGTCGAGGGTCGGGGTTGGGGTTGGCTATTAAGGTAAATACAGGCTTGTATTAAGGCAGGTTTGGGGTGAGTGGCTGTGTGTTAGGTTAGGATAAAGGTATTGTGACAGTGTTTGGTTATGATATTAGTTACCCCAGGCTGCCACCACCACCCTTCTCTGCTGCCACCACTACCCCTCTCTGCTGCCACCACCACCCTTCTCTGCTGCCACCACTACCCCTCTCTGCTGCCACCACCACCCTTCTCTGCTGCCACCACCACCCCTCTCTGCTGCCACCACCACCCTTCTCTGCTGCCACCACCACCCCTCTCTGCTGCCACCACCACCCTTCTCTGCTGCCACCACCACCCCTCTCTGCTGCCACCACCACCCTTCTCTGCTGCCACCACCACCCTTCTCTGCTGCCACCACCACCCCTCTCTGCTGCCACCACCACCCTTCTCTGCTGCCACCACCACCCTTCTCTGCTGCCACCACCACCCTTCTCTGCTGCCACCACCACCCTTCTCTGCTGCCACCACCACCCCTCTCTGCTGCCACCACCACCCCTCTCTGCTGCCACCACCACCCTCTCTGCTGCCACCACCACCCTTCTCTGCTGCCACCACCACCCTTCTCTGCTGCCACCACCACCCTTCTCTGCTGCCATCACCACCCTTCTCTGCTGCCACCACCACCCTTCTCTGCTGCCACCACCACCCTTCTCTGCTGCCACCACCACCCTTCTCTGCTGCCACCACCACCCTTCTCTGCTGCCACCACCACCCTTCTCTGCTGCCACCACCACCCTTCTCTGCTGCCACCACCACCCTTCTCTGCTGCCACCACCACCCCTCTCTGCTGCCACCACCACCCATCTCTGCTGCCACCACCACCCTTCTCTGCTGCCACCACCACCCCTCTCTGCTGCCACCACCACCCATCTCTGCTGCCACCACCACCCTTCTCTGCTGCCACCACCACCCTTCTCTGCTGCCACCACCACCCCTCTCTGCTGCCCCCACCACCCATCTCTGCTGCCACCACCACCCTTCTCTGCTGCCACCACCACCCTTCTCTGCTGCCACCACCACCCCTCTCTGCTGCCACCACCACCCATCTCTGCTGCCACCACCACCCTTCTCTGCTGCCACCACCACCCTTCTCTGCTGCCACCACCACCCTTCTCTGCTGCCACCACCACCCTCTCTGCTGCCACCACCACCCATCTCTGCTGCCACCACCACCCTTCTCTGCTGCCACCACCACCCTTCTCTGCTGCCACCACCACCCTTCTCTGCTGCCACCACCACCCCTCTCTGCTGCCACCACCACCCATCTCTGCTGCCACCACCACCCTTCTCTGCTGCCACCACCACCCTTCTCTGCTGCCACCACCACCCTTCTCTGCTGCCACCACCACCCTTCTCTGCTGCCACCACCACCCTTCTCTGCTGCCACCACCACCCCTCTCTGCTGCCACCACCACCCATCTCTGCTGCCACCACCACCCTTCTCTGCTGCCACCACCACCCTTCTCTGCTGCCACCACCACCCTTCTCTGCTGCCACCACCACCCATCTCTGCTGCCACCACCACCCCTCTCTGCTGCCACCACCACCCTTCTCTGCTGCCACCACCACCCCTCTCTGCTGCCACCACCACCCCTCTCTGCTGCCACCACCACCCTTCTCTGCTGCCACCACCACCCCTCTCTGCTGCCACCACCACCCATCTCTGCTGCCACCACCACCCTTCTCTGCTGCCACCACCACCCTTCTCTGCTGCCACCACCACCCCTCTCTGCTGCCACCACCACCCATCTCTGCTGCCACCACCACCCATCTCTGCTGCCACCACCACCCCTCTCTGCTGCCACCACCACCCATCTCTGCTGCCACCACCACCCTTCTCTGCTGCCACCACCACCCTTCTCTGCTGCCACCACCACCCCTCTCTGCTGCCACCACCACCCCTCTCTGCTGCCACCACCAC